TGTGCAGGCGATGCTAAAAGATGCTGGACTGCCAAATAAATATTGGGGGGATGCTATCCAGTATGCGGCCTACCTAATCAACCAATCATCAACCCATGCTATCTCCAAGGATGTCACACCATATGAAGCCTTTACAGGAATTAAGCCATCACTGGCCCATATCTGAACCTTTGGCTGCACTGCACATGTACATATACCTGAGGAAAAAAGAAAGAAGCTAGATGCAAAGTCCTTAAAATGCATTCATCTGGGCTTTGCAGAGGACAAGAAAGCATACCTATGCTTACACCAGCCCACTGGTCATGTCTTTGAATCCTGGGATGTAGTATTTGATGAGGGAAGCACAGCAGCAGGCCTAGATTGCATCCAGATAGAAGAAGATCCTGCAGGCATGGTTAGTAAACCAGCGGACATAAGAGGGAATGCCCAAAAGGGCAATACGTCACACCCAGATACCATCAGGGCTTCAGGCATGGAAGGCTGTGCTCACATGGAGTCTGATGATGGGGATCTCAAGTCTGGTGAGGGAGAGAGTGAAGATGTTGTCCATGAGGTCGAAATCGAGTCAAACGATGCACCTGATCACTCAGGATCAATGGTAGACCATTCCCCACAGCACTCAGAGGGTAACATGCCAGGAAGCAGCCAGAGTCCTAAAAAAGCGCTTGAAACAGCCTCAAAACCATCAGTAAAGCGAGCTAGGATGATACTGAAACCTACCATGCATAAAGCGACACCCCCACAGCCCTATCCAACTCCAATTCTGCCTTGAGAGACCCACAGGTCCACCAGAACATGAAAAGTGCCACCTGGAGACGATGATTATCACTTTTTCATCAATTCCTATGACAGGACAACCTTACCTAGTCAACAGCTTGAGGTGCTGGAGGGTTCAGGTGCAGAGAGTGAGGGTGGAAGCCCCATTGATGAAGTTGCTTGAGAGCGAGAGTGTGCATGTGGCAACAGCGAGGCTGAGGTGGCTGAGACAAATGAGGAAGTGGCTTACAAAGCATCCACAACACATGACAATGAACCTCACTTGTTCAATGATGCAATGTGAAGCACCAATGCAGATCAGTGGTACGCTGCAATGATTGATGAATTACAGACCTTTAAGTCCATTGGACTGTATGAGGAAGTTGCCCTGCCTCCTGGCTGTAAACTGATTGACTTGAAATGGGTCTACAAGATCAAGCGAGGGCTGACTGGTGAAATTGAGAGGTACAAGGCTTGTTTGGTAGCCAAAGGCTTTACACAGGTACATGGGATTGACTACATGGAGACATTTGCACCCGTCACCAAGTTCGCAACCATCTGCATACTCCTGGTGCTTGCCACTAAGTATAATCTTGAAATCCATCAGATGGATGTTAAATCCACATTCCTAAATGGACTATTAGATGAAGAAATATACCTTTGCCCCCCTCTGGGCTTTCCTCCTGACAGCAACAAAGTCTGGTGGCTGCTACGAGTGCTCTATGGCCTTAAACAGGCCCCCAAGTCATGGTACTCTTGTCTTCGGACTGTTTTTGAATCCCTGGGTTTCACTCGAAGCCAGGCTGACCATAGCCTCTTCTTTAAAGTCGAGAATGGCATACTCATTGTTGTTGCTGTCTATGTAGATGACAAGCTAATACTCTCAAAGTGCCGCACAACCATTGAGTGTGTCAAGGCTCAGCTCTCACAGGAGTATGAGATGAAAGATCTGGGGGAGGCACATTGGATTTTAGGAATGGAGATACTTTGTGACTGTGATAAAGGTATCATACAGCTCTCACAGAAGAGATATGTCAAGAGTATTCTCGAGCACTCTGGAATGAGCAAGGGGCGAGCCATTGCAACCCCCATTGAGCCCAACCTAAAGCTCAAAAAACTAGAAATTCCAGAGGCTGACACCAAGTCATACCAGGGCACTCTCAGAGCCCTTATGTATGCAATACTAGCAATGAGGCCCAACCTTGCTTTTACTGTAGGCATGTTGAGCCATCATGCTGCATGCCCTGGGCATGAACACTCTACTGCACTAAAGCCCATTTTTTGCTATCTGTGATGCACCCCCAATGTCCATCTTACCTATAAGTGAGACTCAAATGCATGTGTGATCAGGTATGTAGATGCAGATTGGGCAGCAGATATCAATGACTGCCACTCTGTTACTGGCTATACTTTCATCCTTTCTGGTGGAGCTGTTAGCTGGTCATTGAAAAAGCAATCATCTGTTGCTCTCTTGAGTACAGAAGCTGAGTACATGGCCACATGTGCTGCCATGAAGGAAGCTATCTGGATTTGTACCCTAGTCCTCAAACTCGAGACTGTGTCATCACATGAACCCACTCCCCTCCTTGTCAACAATCAATCTGCTATCTCACTGGCTCGAAATGCGATGTTCCACAACCGCACGAAACATATTGCGATCCATCATCACTTCATACAAGAGAAGGTGGATTCTGGAGAAGTAGTCATCAACTATGTGTCTACCAGTGACCAGGTGGCCAATGTGCTGGCTAAGGGTGTGTCTAGGGAGAAGCATGTTTGTTTCTCTGAAGCTATGGGTATTATTTTCTTTTAATTCCTTCTTGACTATACTTGTTGAAGGGGTGTGTTGGAGTTTATCACTTTTACCTTAGTTGTAGTTCACCAAGCACAGCATTACATAATCCAAAAGCGGACACTTAGCAGTTTATTTTTTTCCTTACTGCACCTCAGCTTCAACCAACTTGAAGTCTGAGGTGGGACTCCTTCCATTCATTATATTGGAACGCTTACTTACCTACCTACAGTATATTCCTCTCTATAGGTAGTTAATTGTTAAGCTTCAACCAACTTGAAGTCTGAGTATATTCCTCTCTATAGACTTGACAATCCTGCAGCTCATCATCCTCCAAAACACCCTTCTGTATCTCTGCTACACCTCTGACCCCAACCCCTCTTGGCCTCATGCCCACTTTGGTCTCCAGTCCAGCCTCAACCTGGACATCATGAAATTGACATAAACATGGAATTAAAGAGCCTAGAGGAAGTACATACCTGGGATGTTGTTGAGTGCCCCAAGGGTGCAAATGTTGTAGGATGCAAATGGGTCTTCAAGATCAAATGCAATGCTGCCAGAGAAATTGAGAAGTACAAGGCCTGCCTAGTTGCTAAGGGCTACTCTCAGATACAGGGCATTGACTATGATGAAACATATGCTCCCATTGCAAGACTTGCATCTCTTCACACCATACTCACAATTGTTGCACTCAATGATTGGGTTGTTGATGTATTCAATTTCCACTCAGCATTCCTCAATGGCAAACTCAGAGATGGTGAAGACATCTACATGGAGCTCCCTGAGGGCTATGCTGTAGGGTGGAATTTTTCCTGTCCAGTTGGGAAGCTAAACATTGCAATATACAGCTTGAAACAAGGTGCCACCAGGGCACATGCAGACTGAGGAGTATTCTACAGTTGCACAGGACTGGAAATCCTCATCCTCACCAGCCACATTGATGACTGCACTGTAACAGGCAGTTCCCCATCATTAATTCACTCATTTAAACAGGAGATCAGCACTTGTTTTAAAATCTCTGACCTAGGGCCATCAGTTGGCTACTTGGAATGAAGGTGATATGGAATAGAGAAGCCTGCACCATATCCCTGTTGCAGCAGTCATATATTGAGGCCATCCTAATGAAATACAACCTCACTGACTGCAAGCCAGCTGCAATTCTGATGGACCCCAGCATAAAACTCTCCCATGGAGAAATTCTGCAGCCAGCCAAAGAAGCTGCATGCATGAAAAATGTACCCTACCATGCTGCTGTAGGCTCCTTCATGCACCTTGCTGTTGGAACACACCCAGACATTGCATTTGCTGTCTCCACAGTTGTGCAGTTCAATAACACACCCAACATGACTCACTGGGAAGCTGTAAAACAAATCTACAGGTATATTGCAGGCACAAAAGTGCTCACTTTGACATTTGGAAATACAGAATGAGGCCTCAAGGGCTATACTGATGCAGATGGAGCTTTGCAGGAGCATCAATGGGCTATCAGTGGATATGCATATCTACTGGATGGAGGAGCTATAGTTGGGCTTCATGGAAACAAGAACTCATAACACTCTTGACCACTGAAGCAGAGTATGTCACAGCAACTCACACAGCCAAAGAGGGCTTGTGGCTTTGATGACTCACTGGGGAAGTTTTCTGACCATTCAAATATCCTATCCTGCTGTATTCTGACAGCCAATCCACCATTGCACTCACCAAGGATGGCAGCTACCATGCTTGCACCAAGCACATCAACATACAATACCATTTCATTTGTTTCACTGTGGAAAATCATTCCTTTTGTTTAATTCATTGTCCTACTGATGACATGGTCACCAATACCCTTACCAAACCTTCACCTAGCATCAAGGCAAAACACTTCACATCTGCACTCAGACTTCATTCTGATTGAGGGGGAGTGTTGAGAATGCATTCTGGAGTTATGGTAGCCTCTCAGAGTTTTTCCCAGAGGGCTCAGAGTTTCTCCCCAACCCTTGGAATTAAATTCTGATGGCACTATGCTTAGTAATTATGGTACTATAAATTTTCTGTACCATTATTTTCCACCTCAGTCACTACTTCACTTCATTAAGTTTTGCTGTTGCCTAAATGACAGCTTATATTTACAATATTACTGAACAAAAAGACCATCAATTTTTGTTGAAGTTTAAAAACAAAACAAAAAAACTGTGTGTAAAATCTTGAAGTATAATCTGCAGATGATACTGATCACCCAACAATTGCCTGACAATCACCCAGTCATTGGTCATCCATCATGCGAATGGTGTGGGTCTGGCACCCAGAGTATGCTAAGTCTCTCTGGGCCATTGGACCTCAGGTCCTTTGTACAATGCATGTATTTTTGTGCTATGAGTTACAATGATGATGACAACCTGCACAAAAAATATACATATATTTAGTCCTGCAGGAGCCCAGTGTGAGCAAACATGTATGCAACAGAATATCACTATGATCTCACCCTGCACAGAGAACAAACAACTGCAGTGTCACTTGAGACAGCCCAGTGTGCATAATGACCAGACACCCAGGAGCATCTTATGCTTTCTAAGGTCTCTTTGAGCATGGAGGAGTACAGTTTGGCCAGGAAGTGAGGGTACTGAGTGAATGGATCCATGCTCTCCTTCTTCCCTGTGGTCAGTGGATGCTGCCTTTGGACTGCAAAGATGAAAGAGTCTCTGAACTGATATATATACTTGATGCTTCCAGGATCAGGGGGGAAAGATTGGTTTCCACTGGGATAGAAAAGGATGAGCAAGTTCCCAATGTGAGATGATGATCTGCTGTAGTAAACCCCTGTACTGAGTTTCACATTGACATGCAATACTACTTTTTGCTACACAACCAACTCCCACAGATTGTGGGGCATATTCATCATCCCTGGGTTATTGGCCATTGGTATTGAAATCACAGACATTGTCTTGTTGATATGCCCAATTGAGCAGGATCTTGCATTCATGGATGGTGGGTGGGCAATCCATACAAGATAGCCACACACAGAGTCATTGTGAAGTTCAGGTTTACCCTTGGGTGACTGGGCTTCAAGACCAGGTGACAGGGGCTAAGTCCAGGTGGCCAGAGTCAAGGCTGGGAGACAGGGGCCAAGTCTGGTTGGACCAGAGTTAAGGCTGGAGGTCAGGGGTTAAGTCTGGAGGTCTGGACTTAAGACTGGGAGTGCAGGAATAAGGCTGGTAGCATGGGAAACTGACTGGTCTTGGAGCATGCACAGGGGGAAGCTGGTCTAGGGTTGGATCTACCTCCCTTGGTCTTAGCTTATGTGCTGTACCCTTATGCAAGCCAGGGAGAGGTCCAGGACAGGGGCCAGGGATAGCTTAAGGCTCAGCCTGAGCTATAGAGTAGACTCAGAGAGTAGTACAGAGTTGGGGATAATACTAAGTTGATATTCTGACTGAGGTGCTATGAAGTATGTACAGAGGTTAAATACATGAGGCTGTGTCATAGCCATGCCTCAACCCCAACCAGACTCAGCCTTGCACTCATCCAGTCCAGCCATGGCCTCACCAATCCTTTACCCCCAGTAGGTCTAGCACATTTAGCACTTCTTTGCAGTACATGTCATTTTGGTTGAGCCCTACCCAGCCTTGTCCCCAGTCTGCCCTCATCCCTGTCCCAGTCTCTGGTCATCTTAGTCATAACTTACTAATACTGCTCTTACCAATCATCTTAGCAATCTTTGTAAGACCAGAATTACCAGTCTCCATACTATAGTTACTTCCAGTATATAAACTTGTAGATACTTGGCCTGTACTCCCTCAGTCTGAAATCAAATAAGTCCTTATCTGAAATCCTCTCCTCAGCCTTGGACTTGGACTGAAACCCATGCAAGGGAATAGTGCTGCATCCTCAGTTGCTGAGTCCAAACAGTCCTCCCCTCTGTAACTCTGCTTCCCATCTGACCTCAACCCTCTGGCCTCATGCACACTTCAGTCTCTGGTCCAGTCTTAAACCCAGACCTCACAGACTTGACAGTATTTCAGACTCACCACTTGTGTGGTCTAATAGATTATGGCATCAAAGACTCACTTTCAACCTCCCTGTGGCTGCTCTGCCACCAACCCTGAATTGGCTTTAGCTAGTGGGACTCACCATGAGGCAGCACTAGCTGCCTTGAGTACCACTAGGCACTCTCCCAACCCCATTGGTCCTGTCAGGGGCTTTTCAGCCCAAACTTCCAATACTCCCACCCAACATCACCCCACCACCCCCATCCCTGATGATGATCCTGGGGATGATGGGCTAGACAACAATGATAACAACAGCCCCAACAATGATGACCCCAGCAATAACCCTGATGATGATGGTCCCAATGATGACAATCTGGATGAAAATGATCTGGAGGATGAACCAGACTTCCCAGACCTGGACACTGAACCCATGGCTGCAGTCTTCAATAGCTTAGCAAAGGCCATCAAGTTACTGGCTTGCAATGCCCACACTAGCCCTGAGTCCTCAAGCAGGACCAAGCTGCATGAGCCCAACACCTTTGATGGCACCAACCCAGACAAGCTTCATGCTTTCCTCATCCAGTGCAAGCTTAACTTTCAAGACTGACCCCAGGCTTTCAGGACTGACTGTGCCAAGGACATCTTTGCACAATCCTACCTCAAAGACATGGCCTTAGAATGGTTTGAACCAGATTTGCTCAGGGTTGAAGACCCTGATGACTGGCCACTCTGGATGGACTCCTGGAGGGAGTTCATCCTAGAGTTACAAACCACCTTTGACCCTCATGACCCAGTCACTGATGCTGAAAGTCAGCTTGACCATCTGCATATGAAAGACAACCATCATATCAACAGATACATAGTTGACTTCAACTGGCTTGCTTTGCAAGTCCAGGGCTATGGGGATGGTGCACTGCACCATCACTTCTACTCTGGACTCCCAGACTGGATTAAGGATGAGGTCTGCTGGGTTGGAAAACTCCAGACCCTTCATGAGCTCCACCACCTAGTGCAGGAAATAGACATGCACTACTGGGAGTGCAAGGAGGAGGTCCAGAGGGCTAGCAAACACCAGGCCTCCTCATCCAACAACAAGTCTGGCTTTGGTAATAACAGTAATCAGTCCAAGACCACTCAGGACCAAGTTGCATGAGCCCAACACCTTCAATGGTACCAATCCCAAGAAGCTTTGCACTTTCCTCATTCAGTGCATGCTAAATTTCCAAGACCAGCCTTGGGCTTTCAGGACTGACCATGCCAAAGTCATCTTCACCCAGTCCTACCTCAAGGGTATGGCCTTGGAGTGGTTTGAGCCAGACTTGCTTGGGGTCAAGGACCCCAATGACTGGTGTGAGTCAAAGTGTGGATAGGTGGCAGAAACCAACCAAAACCAACACCAAAGACAAATAAGAGCAAGTGGTGGTTTGCCTCTGTGGAACCTGGAGTGCAGAAAGATCTAAAGTGGGGGGCATTTCAAGGGCAGGTGCTCCTAGTGCTGTCACACACCAAAGATGTTTGGTGAGGTGGACATGGATACATGTCATATCCTTGACTCTCAGACTCAACCCCAGTCCAGTCCAGACCCCTAGCCCCTATTCCCAGTCAAGTCCAGTCCTAGTCTGGCCTAGAAAACCTAACTCCAGCCCTAGGAAACCCAACTTTGGCCTAAATAACTCAAGTCCAGTATTTTGCCCTTTGACAGTGACCAAAAGAATGCCATGAGCTGGCTGTTCTCAGTCCAGACCTATCTCTTGGTAAACAAAGAAGTCTATGACACAGAAACCAAAAAGGTTGTCTATGCATTGTCATATATGAAGAAAGGGGTTGCTTGCTCTTGGGCAGCAAACTTCCAGAAAATGTCTCTGGAAAAGAACCCCCCAAGTTTTGGCACCTTTGCTGATATTACTAAAGACTTTAAAGCCTCATTCACCTCCCCCAACTCTGCTGGTGCCACTATCACAAAGTTGCACACCATGAAACAGGAAGAATCAGTGGAAAAACACATCACTGATTTCCAAACTGCTGCTGCTGACTTTACCATCATGGAGGATGTCACCTTGATTGAGTTCTTCTCCCAAGGACTCAAACCTTTCATTGTGAACCAAATGCACATGATGGAAACCACTCCCACCAAGATCAGTGAGTGGTACCAGTATGCACAAAAGTTCAACACTAAGTGGAGGGAAGTAAATGAGCTTTCCAGAAGAAAGAAAAGAGGACATTCTACCCCAAGAACAAACTCTCAGAAGAAAAAGATCCAAATGCTATGGATGTGGATGGAGTGAAACTCTCCAGGGAAGAAAGAGACTGACACATCAAAGATGGAAGATGTTTCAGCTGCAGAAACAAAGGACACCTCTCACAAGAATGTCCAGACAAAGGGAAGACCCCCCAGAAGGTCAAGAAAATTTGAAAGATTGTGGAGGTTGAGGAAAGTGACAATGAAGAAAAAGTCACTGGACCCTCCATCACCTTAGTAAGCATTGCTGGGGCATTAGGAAAGGATTTTTAGAAGGGAACTCCGCATTGATGCCAGATGTTCCCAACACTAAGGACAGTTCTCCCTCTGTTGTGCCTGTACTAGTATCTTCCACTCCAGATTGTACTATGCAAATCCCCATTACTCTCTACACATCAGAAAGAACTGGAAAAGTCATCAGTACCACTGCTTGATTCCAGTGCAGAAATATCCTGCATTGATTGGGGATTCATGTGAAAACATAGAATCCCTACTCAATGACTCACTGAACCTATCCTCACCAAAAATGCAGATGGATCCCAGAACTCCAAGGGACAGATTCTGTTTTCCACCACTCTCTACTTCAGGATCAAAGGACTCATCCATCAGTCATTTTTCCATGTCAGAAACTGTGGATCAGAAAACATGATTCTCAGCCTCCCTTGGCTACAAGAAAACAACCCCATCATTGACTGGAGAATGGGAACCCTCTCCATTGATGAGAAGACTGGTAGGTCAAAAGACCTGTCCTACAGCATTTCTTCAATTACTATAGAAGAACCAACTGTAAACCTTGTATCCCCTGTCAAGAAGGAAGGGATCAACAAATTTATGGATTATGAAGAACCAGAAGACAAGACAATATGAGCCCATTTTGTAATGGCACTTGGAAAACTTGTTGAAGAAGCCAAGAAGGTTAATCCCAGGAATAGCCTTCTTAGAAAAATCACCACTGCCACAGAATTGGCTCAAGAAGAACACAGAAAGAAACCAAAGGCAGTCCTTCCTGAGGATTACAAAGAGTTTGCCTCAGTCTTCAAAAAACCTTTGGATGGAATACTTCCCCCATCACAACCCTATGACCACACTATAAACCTTGTTGAGGACTTCATCCCTAAGGTTGCTAAAGCATACCCACTCTCCCCCTCTGAAAGAGAGTCAGCAGAGAAGTTCATTGAAGAGAACCTTCAAGAAGGAAAGATCTGACCCTTGAAGTCCCCTCAAGCTGCTCCATTCTTCTTTGTTGGAAAGAAAGATGGCTCCCACAGGCTATGCCAAGACTACTGATATCTGAACAAAAACACTGTGAAAGATGTGTACCCCCTTCCACTCATCTCAGATCTCATCAATAAACTTAAGGGAGTGTCTATCTTCACAAAGATGGATGTAAGGTCTGGCTACAACAATGTCTGGATCAAAGAAGGAGACCAATGGAAAACTGTGTTCATCACACACAAAGGACTCTTCAAACCCACTGTCATGTTCTTTGGCCTATGCAACTCCCCTGCTACATTCCAGTGATTCATAAATGACTCCTTTAGAGACATGATTCCTGAAGGATGGTTGGTCATCTACATGGATGGTCTACTCATCTTCTCCACTGATGCCAAAGAACACAAACAGAGACCCCATTGCATTCTAGAATGAATGAAGGAGCTGTCACTACCCACTTCAGTCAACCCCCCTTGGAGACCTAATAGGTCTGGAGATTTTGATATAAGTATTAACCTAATAGGTGTCATTTTGGCAGGAATTCCCAACTTTTGGGGATTCTCCACTACCATTCCTGGAGATTCTCCAGAGCAGCAATTTAATATGGTTGGAGAAATCATTTTCTCCATAATATATATATATATATATATATTATAAATCAAATGAAAGAGTAGCTGGGGTCCAAATTGGACTTTCTCCAGGCTAAATAGACCCCCTTTCCAGGTTGATCCTGGAATTTCCCCAGGCTAAATAGACCCACTTACCAGGGTGAACCTGGGCATTCCCCAGGCTAAATAGACCTGCTTTCCAGGTTGATCCTGGGCATTCCCCAGGCTAAATAGACCTGCTTTCCAGGTTGATCCTGGGCTTTCCCCAGGCTAAATAGACCTGCTTTCCAGGTTGATCCTGAGCTTTCCCCAGGCTAAATAGACCAATTTTCCCAGGCCATGGCAAGTTGGAAGCCATTCTTACAGAGTGACACAACTTGAGACCATCAATTATGGCACTTGCATTGGAATCCTAGGTGATCAGGAGGATTCCTTGAAAGGCAGGGGGGATGGAGGAGATCAGACAGCAGGTGAGTGGTACAGGGGGAGAAAGGGGCAGGGAAGATGATAGAGGAAAGGGGAGGTAGAATGACACCTTCTGCATATGACATCAGAATCATCTGGGTGTTAACTCTCAGGAAACATCCTCCTGACCAAACACTCCACTCATCCTTATGCACTCAAACTAACCTACCCTGTGCTTTAGCTCACCCTGCCCCTCATGCTGCTCTAACAAGATGATGGAGGACAGTGTGGACACCAACAAACTCCCATGATGAAGTCAACAAATATACCATTGAAGAAACTCTGTGATTTTCAGAAGTTGGGACACTACCATCTCCTCTATGTCACCAGGAAAATCACTCAGGTGTGAGAGGATGGAGACAAGGAACATGAAGCAGAGGGTATTGTCCTATGAAAGAATGAACTGTTGAGTGGCTCAAACACTAACAACACCACAAGGTATATCAGCAGTTGGTGTAAAGGACAGAGAAGGTGATCCTCTAAGTGCATACTCCATGTCCTGCTGGGGATTGAGTCTATGTCATGTTGGGGATTCTCCTTGTCAAGTGTGGGGATTCTCCATGTCATCTTGGAGATGACCCATGGCCTGTGGGGGTTCTCAATGTCAACTGTGTGGATTCTCCATGACCTGTGGTGATTCTCCATGTCAACTGTGTGGATTCTCCATGACCTGTGGTGATTCTCCATGTCAACTGTGTGGATTCTCCATGACCTGTGGAGATTCTCCATGTCAAGGATGGGGATTCTCCATGCCATGTTGGGGATTTGCCATGGCCTGTGGGGATTCTCCAGGACAAAGGTGGAATTCTTCATGTCATGATGGAGATTCTCCATGTCAAGGGTGGGGATTCTCCATGCCATGTTGGGGATTCTCCATGGCCCTCTGGGGATTCTCCATGTCATGTTTTCTCCATGTCATGTTGGGGATTTTCCATGGTCTAGCTGGGGATTCTCCATGGCCCACTGGGGATTCTCCATGTCAAGTTGGAGATTCTCCATCCTTGACATGGCAGATCCCTACCCTTGACATCAATCACCTAGCACACCATAAGCCTTCTGGGCATCCCTGGATGCCACAAGTGCCCACCTTGATATTGTACATGCAGTACATCAACATCAATACAAGCATGCAAGGAGTGTCATATAATTAATGATCATCAGAGGTGTGCCCACAGGTGTAGAAGGTCCAACCTTGTCTGCTGAGTTCATTGTCACCCAGCACAGCCAGGAGCTTCTCCATGAGTTGGTGGACTTTGTTGATAATGTATCCTAGTTCAAGGTTGTTGGGCTTGCAGTGGTCAATGTGGAAGATCTGAACAGCATTGTGAATGATATTTTTTGACTTGACAGGCATGTAGTGGGGAGTAATCAATACCAATCTGCTGAACTCCAGCATGGAAGCCACCCTTCTTGCCTGTAACATCAACACAGTACTGGTGCTTGAACTCCCTGCACAATGAGGTAATGTCCAATGGTGGAAGCTGAATGGTATACACTTTCCTTCCACTCTGCTTCCCAACACAGACAGACATCTGCAAGACATTGATATATGAACATTTTGATCCTGCAGTAACCATCTGCTTGACATTGTTGTCCTCCTTCAAGTGCTCCTGCACATATCAACCAGAATGGTCACAATGAAGGTTAAATTCACACTCAACCATACTTTTGAACAATTCTAGGATAGTCATGCTAGGCATGGCCTTCAAGTGGTTGTGATATGCATCATCAATAATCTCCTGGACCCTCTGCTTCCTTTCTGAAATTTTCTTTGGTGATGAAGCTTGTCACTTTCAGTCTAGCAATAGATCACCATTTCTGATACTGAAATCATTATGGAAAAGCCAGTAGTTGATGAGCATTTGTATACCAGTGAAGACCTGACACATGGCAGGACCTTTCCTGCAGAAGACAATATGTATCAGACTGCCCTGGGTCACACCAACCATCTCTTTGTACTTGAACTGGATGAAGTCACCCAATGGATCATGCACTGCACTGTCATAGTAGACCATGACATCCTCCAGCACCTTGATGAGACATCATTGGATATAGCCTGTCTCCTCCATTGACAACAGTATCAATGAGAGCTTCTTGACCAACCATGGCATGGAAACAGAACTCCTGCAGAGTCAGCCCACACATGTATGGTTCTCCATCAATCCACTCACCTCTGAACTGAAGTCATCCTTGGTAAAGTGAGGTAACATCCAATGGTGGAAGCTAAATGGTATACACTTTCCTCCTACAACTCTGCCACCTGACACAGGTGGTTATCTGTCAGACATTGATATATGAACCTTTGGGTTCTGCAGTGATCATTCACAAGCAAGGTCAAGTCAGTTCATGCTCAATTGTAAAGTTGCAAAATTATGTCTTGCCTACTAAACCTAAACCTAGTGCATGTTTTGATTTGTGTGCATCACTGAGTTTTCAATCATGGGGAATGAGTAGGCACACTGCACAGTCCCCAGACATAGCATGCAGTGGGGGAGAAATGAAATGTGGACAACAGCTTTTAAGAAATTGGTAAAGCCAGGAGTTGAGAACAGGATGGCTTCATCATCACCCTTTGCTTCTGAATGAGCCTTGAACTCCAAAGCATCCTGAGAACAAGTGAATGTCAAGGTCAGTAATAGGGGGGAACTGCTCAGTGCCCATCTCAGCCAGGTAGCCAAGCTGAAGACTTGTGCATCATGTTCATCACTGTGAGACTGCACTAGTACTGGCAAAGAGGACAGCACAAACAAGGGATGTAGTCATGCACATCAGCCCCTCTACAAATCGTGAATCATCAGACACCTCCCAAAAAAACAATGGGCAGGTCAGACCATGCCACAGATATATTGAAACCTATAGGCTACCTCAGTAGGTGTGAAACTACTGAGGGAATAGTGAAGGGAATGTATCACTATGTATGCTCTAAGGTGATTATGTAAGCATGGTTGAAGCGCACCGAAGTCACAACCACACTGGCACTTTATAATCTCCAACAAGATAGATGTCACCAGTCCAGCATAAACACACAGGACCAACCAAATTTCAGACTGGACTTTGAGGCATCCAGCAACACATTATGTAAGGCAACACACTGTAAGATTAAACAAAGCCTTTGACTCTGTATCTACAGTATTAATGAATGGGAAGTACAAGGGTAGGAAGGGTATCATAGGCAAACACTGGCCATGTATAGAATCAGTGGGATGAAGTCTTTGACTCTGTATCCACAGTGTTAATGAATGGGAAGTACAAGGGTAGGAAGGGTATCATTGGTGAGCAACTGGGCCATGCATAGGATCAGTGGGGATGAGATGGTAATTAAAATGCATATGACATACCTCCACAGCAATGGCCATGTGGGGTGGTGCTTGCTGAAAGGTAAGGATCAGTGTCCATAGTACTAATGAATGGGGAGGGGGGTATCATCAATGAGCACTGGGTTATGCATGTAATCAGTGAAGATGGGGGTATGTAACAGAGGTGTACATAATGTATCTCAGTAGTGGATATAATGATTATGGGGGTAACCATCTTCTTCATCAGATGGATAGTGGTGTCTCTTGCATGGGGGGCTCCAATACTAACAACATACCTGCAATGGGACCTTCCCTGTGATGGGCCTGTGTCATTCTCACTTCCATCCTCTGGATATTCTTGATGACACTTCTGTGATCAGTGGCAGGGGTGGTGGTGGGAGTGCAGGGTTGGAGAGCAGCTGTGGGAGGCACAATGTTGTAGATGATGTGCTACCAGTGCAGGACTATGCATAGCTCATGGAGGAGACAAGCAAGGTGAGTTGTCAGGTGGTGATGAGGGAGGAAGAGGTGAATACTCAGATGCTGGAGGGGGTCGACAAGCATTGCAGGTGTTTGGTGCTGCACAGCCTCATGTGGGTGGGTGGGGTTGTGCTTTGGCTGGGGGTGGGGGGAGACAAGGGGCTGCCTCCTGGTCAGGGCCCTTCTGGTGCATTGTTGGGGGGAGTGCTTTGACAAATGCTTGCAAGTCAGAAAGGAGGCAAAGGAAGTGATGAAGCATATTCACTACTAATGGAATATCAAAGGCTTTCAGGTCAGCTTCATGCAACAGCTGAAGCTGGTCTAAATAATTCACCTTAGTCAGGCCAGCATAATTGTGCAAGACCAGTAATACTCACCAGCTGTCCAATGCTTGAGATAAAACAATGAAGCAGGTACTGGCACAAAGTGGTCTTCTTCCTCCTCTGCTGGAGCCTCCAAGTTGTAATCTTGTTCCATCTGCTCTTTCAAAAATGGAACAGTGAGAGCATGGAGCTCATTGGTGTTAAGGCACTTCACATTGAAATCAGGACCAACCACCAGAACTCCAGCTGGCCAATCAATAATGGTATGCTTGTGGATGAAGAGCAGGTCTAGCAGCACCTTCCATGGAACATTCTTCTGCCCACACTTGATCTCAGCTTCATCTGTGGGGCTTCAGCTAGTAGATCAGATAGAGATAGTTGTAGTGACTTATGGAACTTCTGCAAGATCATCAGAGGTAAGATACACCAATTTTGATCATGTCTGACTTCCTGGGATTGTAATGCAAGAGCAAGGTCATACAACTTTTGTGATAACAGGGCAAAGTTGGGTAGCAGGACAGAAGCAGCAGAGTCAAGGATTTTATATCTAGAGTAAATTTTCAGTGTAAACCTGACCTGCAATGATTGTACTCACTTGATAATCATAGAGAGAAAATCCAATAATTTTGCAACATCTGTCTGCCTCTCGCTTGCAAGTTGCATGCAGAGTGAAGAGCCAGCAAAGACACCTTGAGCTTGGTGCACAGCTTCATCATTTCCACCATAAATGACACATCCAAAAACATGGATGCCCTCCACATTACTCCATGTTTGCACCTGCATGAAGATATAATTATGCCATGAATCAGAAAAAAAAACAAGGGGGAGGGAAAGGGGATCATCACAAACTGATTGTGTGAAGGAATCCCTGCATGTCATTACCCAGCTGACCATCACCTTCAAACTCATGTCCTTGGTACCATTGATACTCTCATTCCAGAACTTCCAAATTTTTGCCCACAGCTCAGGATGTTCTCCCTCATCTTTATGACTCTCATAATGTTTCATCTGGTGGCTGTAGTAATCATTCACAGATTCTATGACCAAGCCAGGATCAAGGAGGGAAACAAACACAAAGGTACTCACCGTTGGACAATTTAGGGTTGGCACTCACATACCAAGCCTGATGTATGTTCCAAACTGATTCAGCCTGGGTAGCCTTAGTAGTGAGACCAGCATCAGCCATAATTGACACAAGTGTTTTTCCATATTCATTGGCAATGGCTTGGGCCTCTTGAGTGGTGCACACACTGAGTACCTGTGCCTTCTGTAAGGCATCAATGGGGAGTCTACCATGCCTTAAAGTTGGTGGCCCATTCCCTGCAGCAAGCCCATCCTCCTTGTCAGATTCAGAGTGTCTACCAACCTTGGGCAGAATATGAGTAGATTTCCCTTTGCACTTCCTCAGTTTACCAGTATCTTCAGTGTCCACAGTATCTTCAGAAGAAGGAAAGTCAAGAGGAGGGGTGGACAGATGAGTGTTGAGGTCATAATTCCCAGCTCAAATTTCTCTCATCATCTGCTGACATTTAAGGTTGTACCTCATGGTGGTGTACCAGTCACTGTCACTATGTTCATTGTCACTGTTGTCTGTTTGGAGTATAAGCACTATGTAAATAACAGTAGTGCCATTAAATACAATACCTGATGGTTTGTGGTCAACATTGCTTGCATGGTAAACTTCTCCAAAGTCAACAGGGTCTTCACTATGCATAACAATTGCCACCACTTGCTCATCTTCTTCACTCTCTGTGGACTGGTCATTGTAGGAGACCTTCTGAGGGGTACAGGGCAGGTGACAAACTGAAGGGGTATTTGGGGGGTCAGCCTTTAAGGGGAATATGACTTGATAGGATACAAACTTACATTGTTCATGATCATCCTCATCACTACCACTCATTGTATTATGAGACAAAATGGATAAGGTGAGATAAATGCTAGCCAAATGGAAAATATCAGTGCAATGTTCAGGAGAGTAAAATGGTAAAAGGACTTACCTCTTCTGCATCAATGTAGGCACCACTCTGCTTTAGGACAGTCTCTCATTGATATAGTGATATGATCTACTACCATACAGTATGTAGAGGAGGCGTGTTGGACAGGGATGACTTGCTCTTTTTGATAATAGTGATACAATCTACTATATAAAGTATGTAGAGGAGGCACATTGGACAGGACAAGTAAAACACATACCATTCATTGTAAGATGAGATGAAGTGGATAAGATGAGATAAATGCTAGCCAACCAGGAAATATCAGTGAGATGTTCAGGAGAGTAGAAATAGTAAAAGGACTTATCTCTTCTGCATCAATGTAGGCATCACTCTGCTTTAGGATGGTTCTCCCTCTTTGATAAGATCATGCACACCTCAGGAATATCAGTGAAATTCACATGAACAGAAAAAGACATGAATATGTGACAACCTCAGTGACATGAAGACAACTTCAAGATGTTTGAGTAGCATGAAGCCAGCTTGGTGGGTAGACCTATGGGGTTTCATAACAAGATCGATCCATGGCAGAAGGTGGTGGAGGGAACAGTGGAAGGGCCTCAGAGGTCAACAGAGACAAAAGACAATGCTGAAAGCTGGTGAGAATGGCAATGAGGTGGAGAACAGTGCCATGGACAGCATGGACAACATCCTGTGACTTAGGTTATTTTCCCTTGGGAATTCTCCATCCATGTGGCAATGACTTTCCCAATGGTGACCATGCACACAACAATGACAAAAAATTGAGTTCTTCCTTTGTCATCCTTGCTGCCATTGCTGCTGTTCCTCAACATTCATTCAATGGTGTTTCAGGTGTTGTTTATTTGTTATTACTTGAACTTGGCTTTGACAATTTTGTTTTTTAGGTCCTATTTCCACACTATTGCTCCAATTTGCCTCTGAGTTGGCTTTGTGCCACTTGCTATACTGAAGCTTACTTTGTATTGCTTCAATCTGCACTCTGTTGACTTTGTGTCACTGAGGTCATGGATTCCTGATTGTTAGTGCAGTTCAATGCCTCAAGGACCTGTTTCATACTCGCATTGGTGTGTGCTTTTGTGGTTATATTTCATTTCTTGACCCTTTCTCCCCAATGGCTCTACTTCAACCTTGAAGATCCCCTCAAGCACCCTCTATGGCATCCAGCCCAGCCTCTTTCAAACCATACCTTCAGCCCTGAGATGGTATGTGCTATTTATTTTTTTTCTGAGCTAACTTACATCCACAGCTACAATTACTTTGCTTGATGCACAAGCAGTTGCATGCAAGGAGAACTGGGTGATCACATCACCTAACATAGATTTTGTCAAAGAACCATATATTTTTGAGGAGGAAGAACTTTCTTGCTGTGCTGACAGTTGCCTTGGGGTAGTTGACTGCTTTCAATGGCCACAGACACATGAGAAGCAATACAAGTATTCAATCTGCATCCCTCAAAAGCACTCCATTCCCACTCTCCAGATTGCATGGTATGATCCAACTCCCAGTGACTTTTTTGTTCCAACTGGCTCCTGGTTCACAGTGGGTCCACTTCAGAGTGTGAAAGTTGTGGCATTTGAAGAGGCACTTCAAAGTTTGCACAGCTGCCACCACACCCTTTGAGATCGACCCATTGGTCAAGATGCTCTGTGCACTCTGATGCATTTGGCTTGACATGAGTTCATGCATCTTCAACAACATCTCCTACTTTTCTGAGACCTCATCATGTTCATTGTGCAATATCAGCATAAAATACTTGACATCTATGCATTACTTGAGTATATTGAATATGTCTACCTGCTTCTCCTAAACCCTCCATCATGCCCTCCACAAGCCAACTCCACATGGATGGGTTGCTTTGTTAGGGCCACCAAAGTATGTGAAGCTCTGTATTTTGCAGGGGTGCCTGTCTGGCTCATTCATAGCAAAGAATATATTCCCCCAACTATGAACATTGTATGCTTGGTATGATTAACATACCCTGATGGTATTGTCAGGTCTATGTACAGTGGCTCAAAAAACTGACTGCATGTTTGGACATTTTTCACTAAAGTCAATACTGCCCCATATCCCCTAACCTATAAGTGTATGAAACAAAGCCCTTACCATTGGCTCTCAATTGGTGCAGGGGTCAAGGGTTTTGGATAAGGTTTGATCAAATGGCAGCCATTTCAAAATGATGACTCATGTGGTCAGTTTTTTGACTTTAGGTTTCAATTACATATATTAGACTCTAGCATACTGTAATATTAGTACATACATTTGGAAATGGTTCTATTATGTCACCTTTATGTAATTGAGTGTCAGACACTATAAATAAACCCCACCATCACCATGAAACCCATCTCTGCATCTCAAAGAAAGAGCAACATATCTCTCTCCTCTCTTGATCTTTCCACCAGGAAAATTGCTTCCAAAACTGGCTTAGGGCAGTTTACAGTATGCTGGGTCCTTCAGAAACTCCAGCCAGAGAGGACTAGGCTTTGTGGTGGCCATCCATTAAAGCTTACCCCTACCAACAAAAGGGCTATTGTTCAGCAAATCATTACTGGCAAGGCCAAAAATGCTGTCCATGCCATTCAATTCATCAATTCTCTTATTGATACTCCTGTCTGCAACAGACTGTTAGAAATAGCCTCAAGGAAGCCTCTGTAAAGGGTGTGGTCAAGAAAAAGAAGCCCTTGCTTTCTAATGGACACAAGAAGAGAAGGCTAGCTGTTGCTCTCAATACCAGAATTGGACTGTGGAGGACTGGATGAGAGTTATATGGGCAAGAGTATGTGTGGAAAAAGAAGAGTGAAGGACTAATTGCTAGAGAGGTCAAGGGTACAGTTAAGTTTGGAAGTGGTTCACTGATGGTATGGGGCTGCAGAAGGTGGAATGGAGAAGGGGTTTTGAGTGAGGTGGAAGGATGGATGGATGCTGAACAGTATGTGGCCATTTTGGAGCAGGGGCTGCTGCAAATCTTGGAAGATTCTGGAATTTCAGAAGGTCATATAATCTTTCAACAAGATAATGGCCCCAAGCACACCTCTAGGAGAGCCCAAAGTTGGTTGGAAGAACAGGAAATCAACCTTCTGGACTGGCCTGCACAATCCCCAGACTGTAATCCCATTGAACATACTTGGAATCACCTCAAGAGATGCCTCTCAGGTTATAAGAGTGCTCCTACAGTCATTCACTGACTGTGGGAAAGAGTGGTGGAAGAGTGGGGGAAGATTGATGAGGAGCAGTGTCAAAATGGATAGAAAGCATGCCTAGAAGGATTGAAGCAGTTATTAGGGCCAAAGGAGCTCATATGAAGTACTAGATACTTAAATTGATATAAAGTCAAAAAACTGACTGCATGAGTCATCATTTTGAAATGGCTGCCATTTGATCAAACCTTATCCAAAACCCTTGACCCCTGCACCAATAGAGAGCCAATGGTAAGGGCTTTGTTTCATACACTTATAGGTTAGGGCCTAGGTTAGGGGATATGGGGCAGTATTGACTTTAGTGAAAAATGTCCAAACATGCAGTCAGTTTTTTGAGCCACTGTATATGGAAAACAGTGTGGTGAAGCCCTTCCATTCCATCTGGTGAGGTCCAAGCAACACCCTCCATCAATACCATACTCACCATGGCTATGAAGGTACCCTTGCTGATGTGCCCAAGTGCCTACCCATATCATATCCTTCCTTGTCATGCCCATCCTCTAGTAGTGGGAGGCAGCCTACTGCAAGACAATCCAGAACTGTGAGGGACAGAGCCTCTGCAGGCCCTTCTTGAGGTACATAATTCTCAGGTCTCCCTTTCCTTGTTTTTGACCTGCAGCATCATCATCAGCAGGTGGAGAGTCAAAATGGGAGGAACCTAACCTGCCAGATATTCCAAAACCCCATAGCATGTTTGCAGCTGCTTGGATAGAAGCTGACAAGAATTCACAGAGAGTCTCATCTGGTCTTGTGGACCCAGGCTATCACTTCCCAACGCCAATGCTTTTTGTTAATGTGTCTATGCTAGAGTGAAAGAAGATTTACCTCTTCAATTGGCTGTCTGCTCATGCACTCTGGATTAGTCAGGTTGATCTGTGCTTGCCCTCAAGGTTCCCTTCCCCTCAGATGTGGAGGGACTTTTTGAATACAGTGGCTCAAAATTGTCCCAATGTTTGCATGTTTTTCATTAATCATGGTGTAGTGAGTGAACTATCATTATTGAGTCCAAGGTGTTGGTGGATGGATCAAAGTGTCTGGTCATGGCTCTCTGATGAGCCATATTACATAATATTTGGATAGCAACTGATGACAAATTACCCAAATGAAAATGAGAGCTCATTGGGACAATTATGTAACTTTGTGATATGCTGGGGATGTAGTCCTTGGGAACACATATAAAACATGGTGAGATGCTCACCAATGCTTACATGATGTATCACATGGTCTACTGAATGATTTGTCAACAAACAAACAAAGCCAAACAGTGATTTTGCACTGCTAAGCCTCCTTGCTGTAACACAAGTCAAGCAATCACCATTCTGGCTCATCAGGGACATTCTCTCAGGGCAACCTCAGCAAATTCTGGTGTACACTATAGTATAATCAATAGAATATGCCATCAGCACCATTGGTCACTTCACAAACCTGCTGGCAGTTATCTCCTGCACTGTTTCCCCACCAATACCACATGTGGAGTTGGCTTGCAGAGGGTGTGACAGAGGGTTTAGGAGAAGTGGGTAGACATATTCAATATACTCAAGTAATGCATAGATGTCAAGTATTTTATGCTGAAGCTGCACAATGAACATGATGAGGTCTTGGAAAAGTAGGGGATGTTGTCGAAGATGCATGACCTTGTGTCAAGCCAAATGCATCAGAGTGCACAGAGCATCTTGCCAATGGGTTGATCTTGAAGGGTGTGGTGGCAACTGCACAAACTTTGAAGTGCCTCTTTGAATGCCATGACTTTTGTGCTCTGAAGTGTGCCCACTGTGAACCAGGAGCCAGTTGGAACAACAAAGTCACTGGGAGTTGGATCATACCATGGGATGGAGTGCTTTTTGAGGGATACAGATCGATTACTCATATTGTTTCTTGTGTGTCTGTGGCCATTGAAAGCAGTCAGCTACCCCAAGGTGACTGCCAGCATGGCAACAAAGTTCTTCCTCCTCAAAAATATATGGTTCTTTGACAAAATCTATGTTAGGTGATGTGATCACCCAGTTCTCCTTGCATGCAACTGCTCACACATCAAGTGAAGTGATTGTAGCTGCAGATGTAAGTTAGCCCAGAAAAAAAAAAAATAGCACATACCATCCTGGGGCCAAAGGTATGGTTTGAAAGAAGCTGGGCTGGGTGCCATAGAGGACACTTGAGGGGATCTTCAAGGTTGAAGTAGAGCCAGTGGGGAGAAAGGGTCAAGAAATGAAATATAACCACAAAAGCATGCACCAATGCAAGTATGAAATTGGTCCTTGAGGCATTGAACCAAGGTCACCATGTATTCATGTCTTTTTCTGTTCTTGTGAATTTCACTGATATTCCTGAGGTGTGCATGATCTTATCAAAGAAGGAGAACTGTCCTAAAGCAGAGTGATGCCTACATTGATGCAGAAGAGATAAGTCCTTTTACCATTTCTACTCTCCTAAACATCTCACTGATATTTCCTGGTTGGCTATGTTGGAGTGAAATGACCCCTGTCCTTACTTGGACATAGGCATGTGATCATGTCGCTTACATACGCTGTTAGAGTGCACCCATACACTAGTAAAATTTACCTAGTCCCTCAGTAGCTTGACAGACTACTGAGGGTGAGTACACTTCTATATAGATAGAATATCCTTACTAACTTGTATAGTTCCCTACAGGTACTATACTCAATAGTAGTAGCTTGACAGACTACTGAGGTTCCCTACAGATTCCTCTCTGGGTTTCCCTCTGCAACCCCACAAACTTCTTCAGGCTAGCATTTTTCTCATATTATCTGCTTCATCTCATATTACAATGAGTGGTATGTGTTTACTCATCCTGTCTGATGCACCTCCTCTACATACATTATATAGTAGATTGTATCACTATAACAATGAGAAAGAGCTGTCCTAAAGCAGAGTGGTGCCTACATTGATGCAGAAGAGGTAAGTCCTTTTACCATTTCTACTCTCCTGAACATCACACTGATATTTTCCATTTGGCTAGCATTTATCTCATCTTATCCACTTCATCTCATAATACAATGAGTGGTATGTGTTTACTCATACCATCTGACACACCTCCTCTACATATTTTATATAGTAGATCATATCATTATCCTTGTTCATCAGATCTGGCCTATGAACTACCATGCAATGCTGTTCACCACCAAGGCCAAAACTAACCTTCAATGTGACCATTCCTCAAACCACACTGGTAACAACACTTTGTCTCCCATCACAATCTGTGGTACATGTTTCTCTGTCTCTGCTTCATTTCTTTTTGGCATACATTCCTATCATAGATATGATTTATGATCTGTCTTCATTGGGTCTACTGATGTTGCTCACCAAACAGAGGGTCAAAAATATGCTTCCATGCTTCCATGCTTCCAAGCCCTGAACTAGTTTGTTTGCTTGCATCAACATGTAATCATTTGGTCATCATTCCCTTGTGTAGCCACAGTGCTGGTAGTGCCCACATCCAGGTAATTTAAGGTGCCAGTGGATGCTCTGTTACTGTTATATATATATATTACTTCCCTCTGGCTTGAAACACACACTCTACCAGCTAACTTATCAGCCTGGAGCTTCTAACAAAGTGCATCAGTTTTTCTTTTATCATAATCTTGTTCATATGTTTGTTTTCAGTTATTAAATTTTGTTCTGTCAACCCTGTGTCATTGCTGTTCATTCATTCCATTGACCCCATGTCATTTGACATTTTCCCTTGATGGCCATAAGGTTTTACAAGTCAGCCAGGAAGAAGCTGGCACCAGTTCAAAAGAGGTGCATACACCTTTTGGCTGAAAAACATAAATAGGCACTAACTTGCTTTCCTCCTCATCTCTTTTTCTACCCTCAGTTGTTCATTGAATCACTGACCATGTCCACTCCTTTTTGCTCTTCATTTGATTTTATACTCTTGCTTGAATTCAAATCAGCAAGGAACCCAATGACTATGTGTTCCTGGAGAACTCCCCCACTGTGTGACTGTGTGTCTGCTGTGTGATTGTTGCTGTGCCTCCATGAATGTCGCCCTCTGATCCCTCTATGAAGATTGGCCCCCCCATTGGGGTTCGCAGGTTGAAAAGAATCAAGGGTACTACAACATCATCCAGTAAAATCCAACCTGGGTGAGGTGCAAAGAAGTGCCATTGCACCATCAAACCTGGTGCATGTGCATAATTTACCCTGTCTTCCACACTTGTGCTCAACCTCCCTCCAGCAGCACCAACCAGAAACCACAATACTGGTCCTGAGGTTAGAGCTGCATTAGGTCCCTTTTTTTTTTGGCTTGCTGACCTTCATTTTCAGGAGGCCAGATCTAGTGTAGCTCAACATCCAACTCACAAGCCATGTCCATGGTGTCCCTCACAAGGTTTAACAGAAAAGGAGTGCAAAGAAGAGTATCTCAATTCCTTTCACTTGACAATGGTTCCACTGAAAGATGGTACAAAATTGGACTGCTGTACTGCCCTCCAACAGCTCCATGGAGGCATGATCACTATGCAGGATATAGTCGATGAGGATGATTGTTCAGTGTTGCTGCTAGCTGTCCCCTCCAATACTCCTTCAGACAATGAGGATCATCATAAACAATGTAAGTTTGTATTCTCTTGCAACCATATTCCCTCTCAACATCACCTCTAGCTGTCCCCCACAGTACCACTTCAGATGTGCATCTGCACCGTGGCCTCCAGAGCATGTCTAATGATGAGGATGATTGTGAGCAATGTAAGTTTGTATCTATATGCAACCATACCCCTTCTCAACATCACTACCAGTTGTCCCCCCCAATATCCCTTTGGATGTGCATTTGTCCCATGCCCTTCAGAACATGTCCAGCAATGAGGATGATCATGAACAATGTAAATTTGTATCCTATGAAGTCATATTCCCCTTAAAGGCTGACCCCCAAAATACCCCTTCAGCTTGTCACCTGCCCTGTACCCTTCAGAAGGTCTCCTACACATGGAAGGTGCTGCTAGACCTGCTCTTCATCCACAAGCATACCATTGTTGATTGGCCAGCTGGAGTTCCAGCAGTTGGTCCTGATTTCAATGTGAAGTGCCTCAATGCAAATGAGCTCTGTGCCCTCACTGTTCCATTTTTGACAGAGCAGATGGAACAAGATTACAAATTGGAGGCTCCAGCAGAGGAGGAAGAAGACCACATTGTGCCAGTACCTGCTTCATCATTTTATCTCAAGCATTGGACAGCTGGTTTGTATTACTGATCTTGCACAATTATGCTGGCCTGACTAACATGAATTATTCAGAACAGCTTCAGCTGTTGCATGAAGCTGACCTGAAAGCCTTTGACATTCCATTAGTAGTGAATACACTTCATCACTCCCTTTGCCTCATTTCTGACTCACAAGCATTTGTCAAAGTGCTCCCCCCAACAATGCACCAAAAGGGCCCTGACCAGGAGGCAGCCCCTTGTCTCCCCCTGCCCCCAGCCAAAGCACAACCCCACCCACCCACATGAGGCCATACAGCACCAAACACCTGCAATTCTCATCAACCCCCTCCAGCATCTGAGTATTCACCTCTTCCTCCCTCATCACCACCTGACAACTCACCTTGCTTGTCTCCTCCATGAGCTATGCATGATCCTGCTCTGGTAGCATGTCATCTACAACATGGTGCCTCCCACAGCCACTCTCCAACCCTGCACTCCCACTGCTGCCCCCACCACCAATCACAGAAGTGTCACTGAGAATATCCAGAAGACAGAAGCAAGAATGATGCAGGCCCATCACAGGGAAGGTCCCATCACAGGTATGCTGTTAGTCTGACCTGAATGCATTATACTGACCCAATGCAGTGTGGTTGAGTATGTTCATTGGAGCCCCCCACACAAGAGACACCACTATCCATCTGATGATGAAGATGGCTACCCCCCATAATCATTATATCTGCTACTGAGGTACATTATGTACACCTATGTTACATACCCCCATCTTCACTGATTACATGCATAACCCAGTGCTCATTGATGATACCCCCCCTCCCCATTCATTAGTCCTATGGACACCAATCCTTACCTTTCAGTGAGCACCACCCCACATGACTGTTGCTGTGGAGGTATGTCATATGCATTTCAATTACCATCTCATCCCCACTGATTTTATGCATGGCCCAGATGCTCACCAATGATACCCTTCCTACCCTTGTACTTCCCATTCATTAACACTGTAGATACAGAGTCAAAGACTTCATCCCCACTGATTCTATACATGGCCCAGTGTTTGCCAATGATACCCTTTCTACCCTCATACATCCCATTCATTAACACTGTAGATACAGAGTCGAGGACTTCATCCCCACTAATTCTATACATGGCCCAGTGTTTGCCAATGATACCCTTCCTACCCTCATACTTCCCATTTATTAATACTGTAGATACAGAGTCAAAGGCTTTGTTTAATCTTACAGTGTGTTGCCTTACATAATGTGTTGCTGGATGCCTCAAAGTCCAGTCTGAAATTTGGTTGGTCCTGTGTGTTTATGCTGGACTGGTGACACCTATCTGGTTGGAGATTATAAAGTGCCAGTGTGGTTGTGACTTAGGGGCGCTTCAGCCATGCTTACATAATCACCTTAGAGCATACATAGTGATACATTCCCTTCACTATTCCCTCAGTAGTTTCACACCTACTGAGGTAGCCTATAGGTTTCAATATATCTGTGGCATGGTCTGACCTGCCCATTGTTTTTTTGGGAGGTGTCTGATGATTCACGATTTGTAGAGGGGCTGATGTGCATGACTACATCCCTGGTTTGTGTTCTCCTCTTTGCCAGTACTAGTGCAATCTCACAGTAATGAACATGATGCACATGTCTTCAGCTTGGCTACCTGGTTGAGATGGGCACTGAGCAGTTCCCCCCTATTACTGACCTTGACATTCACTTGTTCTCAGGATGCTTTGGAGTTCAAGGCTCATTCAGAAGCAAAGGGTGATGATGAAGTCATCCTGTTCTCAACTCCTGGCTTTACCAATTTCTTAAAAGCTGTTGTCCATATTTAATTTCTCCCCCACTGCATGCTATGTCTGGGGACTGTGCAGTGTGCCTACTCATTCCCCATGATTGAAAACTCAGTGATGCACACAAATCAAAACATGCACTAGGTGTAGTAGGCAAGACATAATTTTGCAACTTTACAATCAAACATAAACTGACTTGACCTTGCTTGTGAATGGTCACTGCAGAACACAAAGGTTCATATATCAATGTCTGACAGATAACCACCTGTGTCAGGTGGCAGAGTTGTAGGAGGAAAGTGTAAGCCATTTAGCTTCCACCATTGGATGTTACCTCACTTTGCCAAGGATGACTTCAGTTCAAAGGTGAGTGGATTGATGGAGAACCATACATGTGTGGGCTGACCCTGCAGGAGTTCTGTTTCCATGCCATGGTTGGTCAAGAAACTCTCATTGATACTGTTGTGAATGGAAGAGACAGGCTATACCCAATGATGTCTCATCAAGGTGCTGGAGGATGTCATGGTCTACTATGACAGTGCAGTGTATGATCCATTGGGTGACCTCATCTAGTTCATGTACAAAGAAATGGTTGGTGTGACCCAGGGCAGTCTGACATATATTGTCTTCTGCAAGAAACATCCTGCCATGTGTCAGGTCTTCACTGGTATACAAATGCTCATCAACTACTGGCTTTTCCATAATGGTTTCAGTATCAGCAATGGTGATCTATTGCTGGACTGAAAGTGACAAGCTTCATCACCAAAGAAAATTGCAGAAAGGAAGCAGAGGGTCCAGGAGATTATTGATGATGCATATCACAACCACTTGAAGGCCATGCCTAGCATGACTATCCTAGAATTGTTCAAAAGTATGGTTGAGTGTGAATTTAACCTTCATTGTGACCATTCTGGTTGATATGTGCAGGAGCACTTGAAGGAGGACAACAATGTCAAGCAGATGGTTACTGCAGGATCAAAATGTTCATATATCAATGTCTTGCAGATGTCTGTCTGTGTTGGGAAGCAGAGTGGAAGGAAAGTGTATACCATTCAGCTTCCACCATTGGACATTACCTCATTGTGCAGGGAGTTCAAGCACCAGTACTGTGTTGATGTTACAGGCAAGAAGGGTGGCTTCCATGCTGGAGTTCAGCAGATTGGTATTGATTACTCCCCACTACATGCCTGTCAAGTCAAAAAATATCATTCACAATGCTGTTCAGATCTTCCACATTGACCACTGCAAGCTTAGCAACCTTGAACCAGGATACATTGTCAACAAAGTCCACCAACTCAAGGAGAAGCTCCTGGCTGTGCTGGCTGATGATGAACTTAGCAGGAAAGGTTGGACCTCCTACACCTGCTGGCACACCTGTGATGATCATTAATTATATGTATGACACTCCTTGCATGCTTGTATTGATGTTGATGTACTGCATGTACCATATCAAGGTGGGCACTTGTGGCATCCAGGGATGCCCAGAAGGCTTATGGTGTGCTAGGTGATTGATGTCAAGGGTAGGGATCTGCCATGTCAAGGATGGAGAATCTCCAACTTGACATGGAGAATCCCCAGTGGGCCATGGAGAATCCCCATCCTTGACATGGAGAATCTTCAACATGTCATGGAGAATCCCCAACAGGCCATGGGGAATCTCCAACATGACATGGAGAATCCCCAATGTGCCATGGAGAATCCCCAACATGGCATGGAGAATCCCCACCCTTGACATGGAGAATCCCCAACATGACATAGACTCAATCCCCAGCAGGACATGGAGTATGCACTTAGAGGATCACCTTCTCTGTCCTTTACACCAACTGCTGATATACCTTGTGGTGTTGTTAGTGTTTGAGCCACTCAACAGTTCATTCTTTCATAGGACAATACCCTCTGCTTCATGTTCCTTGTCTCCATCCTCTCACACCTGAGTGATTTTCCTGGTGACATAGAGGAGATGGTAGTGTCCCAACTTCTGAAAATCACAGAGTTTTTTCAATGTATATTTGTTGACTTCATCATGGGAGTTTGTTGGTGTCCACACTGTCCTCCATCATCTTGTTAGAGCAGCATGAGGGGCAGGGTGAGCTAAAGCACAGGGTGGGTTAGTTTGAGTGCATAAGGATGAGTGGAGTGTTTGGTCAGGGGGATGTTTCCTGAGAGTTAACACCCAGATGATTCTGATGTCATATGCAGAAGGTGTCATTCTACCTCCCCTTTCCTCTATCATCTTCCCTGCCCCTTTCTCCCCCTGTACCACTCACCTGCTGTCTGATCTCCTCCATCCCCCCTGCCTTTCAAGGAATCCTCCTGATCACCTAGGATTCCAATGCAAGTGCCATAATTGATGGTCTCAAGTTGTGTCACTCTGTAAGAATGGCTTCCAGCTGGCCATGACCTGGGAAAATTGGTCTATTTAGCCTGGGGAAAGCCCAGATTCACCCTGGAAAGTGGGTCTATTTAGCCTGGGGAAATCCCAGGATCAACCTTGAAAGCAGGTCTATTTAGCCTGGGGAAATCCCAGGTTCACCCTGGCAAGTGGGTCTATTTAGCCTGGAGACAGTCCAATTTGGACCCCAGCTACCCCTTCATTTCATGTATAATATATATATATATTATGGAGAAAATGTTTTCTCCAACCATATTAAATTGCTGCTCTGGAGAATCTCCAGGAATGGTGGTGGAGAATCCCCAAAAGTTGGGAATTCCCACTAAAATGACACCTATTGGGTGAATACTTATATCAAAATCAAAATCTCCAGACCTAATAGGTCTTTGAGGGGGGTTGACTGAAGTGCTCAGATCTTGTCAACAAACTTAAAGAAGTGTCTATCTTCACTAAAATGGATGTGAGATCAGGCTACAACAATGTCAGTATCAAAGAAGGGGACCAGTGGAAAGCCACATTTATCACATACAAAGGACTCTTTGAACCTACCATCATGTTCTTCAGGTTGTGCAACTCTCCCACCACCTTTCAGCATTTCCTGAATGACTCCTTCAGAAACATGATCACAGAAGGATGGCTGGTCATCTATATGGCAGACCTCCTCATCTTTTCCACTGACCCTGAAGAACACAAATGGAGAACCTGCCACATTCTAGAATGAATGAGGGAGCTGTCACTACCCCTCAAACTTGAAAAATGTCACTTTGATCTTACTGAGGTGGAATACCTTGGCATGATCATTAAGGAAAACACTGTTGCCATGGACCCTATCAAGGTCCAAGGCATTGCTGAATGGCCTGTCCCAAAGAAGGTTAAGGATGTGTGATCCTTTTTAGGATTCACTAACTTCTATTGAAGAGTTGTCCCCTACTACTTGGACATCGCCTGACCCCTAATCAACCTTACCAAGAAAACTACTACTTGGGAATGGTCAAAGAAATGTCAGAATGCCTTTGAGCTTCTGAAAAGAACATTCATGGCATGACTGACTCTTTGAATGCCTGATACCTCTCAGCCATTCACAATCCCTACTGATGCATCTAAGTATGC